CCCCCATTTCCTCAGATCAGTAAGAAAAACTATAATTGTTGCTAACTAAATGACGATGAATTTCTTTCTTTTTCATAGTTAGGTTTTTGCAAAATAAGCTTAAGAATTTTGTGGCCAAAGGCCTCGGGGGGAAAGAAAAAAACAGTCGATTGAAGCTATTTAAACTAAATCGAAGAAATAAATAATTCTCAATACAAATTCCATAATTTCTAGCACAATTGTTACGTGCGGCTGTCATATTAAAATTTTTGTAAGCAAAGTGAGAATGATATGAAATTACTTTTTTATATACATACCTAATCATATGTTTAAAGAAAAAAGCAATGCATTACATGGAACCCGCAAACTTTCATATTCAATTGTAAAGATTTGAAATCATTTCATTTTTTTATTGAAATTTTCTTCATTTCGTTTACATCAAATTAAAACAAAAAGAAAAAAAAAAAAAAAATCACTACTTTATATAAAACAATTATTTAAAAAAAAAAAAAAAAACAAAAAAAAAAAATCAAAATAATAAAAAAATTGGAAAAAGGCATTACCTACCCCATAAAACATGCATATATTTAAAAAGTGAAACAAATTTTTTAGCGTTAAATGTGAATGACTTTTACTTAAATAAATGTATTCGATAGATACTGATTATTATTATTATTATTAAAGTAACTAATTATTAAAATGAGAAAAAAAAAAGTATATATATATATATATACATATATATATATATATATATTACTATTTAATATACATAACAAATATAATATATAATGCACGCAAATCTCTACAATGAAAAATAAATGAAAAAATAAAAATCGAAAATTCATTTTTAATAACAGTAAAATAAACGCATTCTAATAAAGCAAAAAAAACACTCATTCAGTAGTTTCATGAACTAAATAAGAAATGTAAAAAAAAAAAAAAACAAAAAAAAAAGAAGAGAGATCGAATAAAAAATTAGCCATTATTCTCAACAAATATGTTTAGAAAATGATGTTTCATCTTTTTTATCCGCCAATCGAAAAAAAGATTGTATTGGAGAAATTTGCATTAGAAAGTCCGGAAAGATGCGATCCGTTTCATTATATCGCTTTGTCGTTATTTAAATAATGACTGTCGCGGAAATTTGAATAGAAAGCTGAAACCTTGCATCCATTCATTCCATTTCCGGCATTATCGATATTTTTCTGAGGTTTCAAAACCTCAGCTCAGAGTTGATTTGAAGAAAATCTATTTATGTATTCATACTTTCCTTCTCAATTTCCATTTCCGTTCTTCTTAAAAAAAAAAAACAAAAACAAAATTTCATATTCAGACTTAATAATGGTCTTATCAGATACTGATATATCTCATCTCTTATCGATGACAAGATGTTAAATGTCTAAGCGACAACGAGTTGACTGAACTTTGTTGTTTATTCCTTTTCACAATTCGTGCTTTTCTTTTTAAACAAATTAAATGGAAAGAAAGTGTAATTGCAAGTTGATAAGCAAGGTAATCAAGTCAAAATATTCCAATAATGCAACAGATATTCCGATTCTAGGAAAACCCATTGTTTTCTTTGAACGAATTTGTCAAAACACGACAATCAAAACATAAAAAAGAAGAAAAAGAAATTAAACGGACGCATTATTATGTAGTTGAGAGTAAAACAATATCACTTGGGTAATAAGTGCTCAGTAGAATCTTTTAAACAAAACTCTTCTTCATGGTTGCATAAAAGTGCAAACAAGTCCATACTATGATGGTATGGATTAAAAACTTGACAAAGACCTACGCAAAATTCTAGAGGGTACATATGTTCCATACGCTGTCCCGCGCATGCGCGTAAATTATCACTAACGTTATCTATTCTATGATACATTTCTTTCATCTTTCATCTTCTTCTTCGTTGTCATTTCTTTCGAATATTTTATAACATAAGCATATATAAAAATGCCTTGCAAAGGATGCGAAAAGGGTAAATATATTGTATATATGTAAAATTTTTATAAAAAATTTTCTCAACTAGAATGCAAATGTACCGTTGAAAAGTGCGATGAAAATTGCAAATGTTCGAAGGCTAATAAATGTAATTGCATGGCACCCGAATCAGCAAAGGAAGGAAAATCTTGCTGCAGCAAACTGAAGAAAGATGAATAAATTGTTATTTTACTTTTATACATCTACACATGTATGTGTGAGTAGGTATAAGAATTTGAAATCGGGAATGAAATCTTTAAGAGAAAAAATAAAATGAATTGAACGAAAAATAGTTTTTTTCATATTTTTTTTTTTTTTTGTGAAATTTTTCAATGCATTGCATGAAAAGTTTAGTTTCGGACTTTATGCCGCTATGCTATTGTAATTCATGGGCGTTGAGCTGCTTATTATTCCCCTTTTCATTGTTACATTGTGCATTGATTACATGGATTACGAAAACGTGCAAGATACTTGTAAAGTTTCAAAAATTGGAGTGAAAAATTGATTCTTCGCATCTCGCGTTGATCACACAAAGTAAATTGAATGAAACGGCAATGATCTCCTTTAGAACAACGAATTCCGGATGGCATTCTTCAGAGTTTTTTGACGGCAGAAGTAAGTCGTCCCAAAAAAATCTGCCAGATTTTTTTTTTTTTTATGTCTCTTTATTTTATTCCTCTTAATGGAAGTATTGAAGTCTTCAAATTTGAGCCTGATGATGATGCATATGCAGGTTGTATATTGTATTTTTCGGCTACGTTTGTATGTATGCGATTTTTAGATTAATAATATAACTTATTGGTCCAGATCAACTTGCTTAAGTTCACCTTTCACCTGGAGCGACCAAGCGTTTCAAACGAGCGTGTTTATCCGTTGAGGGGATACGGCGAGCAAGAAGATTCGGATGACACTCTCCTTGATTACCCAAGTCTCTGTGAAGATTCAAGTAAGAGGTCGTATATTTTACCCACACTGTAGTTTTAAATCGTATCATTTTCTTGTTCTACAATTTATTCAAGTTTATGTCATTTTGCCCGACTCTCTATTACTTAAAAGTGACATTAGGTGTTTAACAATATAAAGGAAGAGCTTACGTAAAAATCAGTAGCCATGGGTTCCATGTATGATGTATATGCAGAAGGGTTAGAAAGACTTGAGCAAATGATTCGACATTTGTGTTGATTCACTCTTGAAGTTTTTGCTAACTTACTGGTTATTGATTGGAACTCTTTGGGCATTGATTGCGCCCTTTATAATAGAAATGAAAATATTTTTACTAATTTTTTTTTTTTTTTTTTAAATAATTTTATTACTTTAAATTCAATTAAAAATTAAGTTCACACAATGCGGTGGGCACCACAGTTTATTGCCAGCCGTTTTTTTTTTTTTTTTTTTTTTTTGCTTATCATTGCTAAGGTAGAAAAATAAATGTTAATATAAATACCTTAAACCATATATATATAAGGGGGAGAATAATTTATACACAGTTTTTTTAAAAAACGGCAAAAAGCAAATAAATTAACAAGAAACACAACATGTTACAAAATATAATATAATTACAAAAAATATATATGTACGCAAATTGTTTTTTTTTTTTTTTTTTCTTACAGAAATTACATAATTTGCAAAATATATCCTTTCTTCCCAATTGCAAAATTGTACAAAATTGAGCAGAGAGAGAGAGAGAGAGAGTTTTGTATTGAATCGAAAACAGAAACGAAAGAATTCATACTTAAATTAGTTAAACAAGTTTAAAACGTTTCTTCCTACTATTCAACACTGCAGTTGTATCCTCTATCTTTATCTTATCTCGTTCTGCTTTTTTAGCGCATGTAAATTCAATTTTGCTTTATACGAAAATGCTTTGTATGTGTATGTGTGTGTGTGTATGATTAATTTCTTTTTTTTTCAATTAATTTATTTTTTGTGCTTCATGTTGGCATTCTTTTTTTTCTAATTTTTTTTTTTTTTTTTTTTTTTTTTTTTTTTTATTCATAAAGCACAAATTTAAACTAGGAAAGATTTTCTTCGAACATTTTGTTATTTCTTTTCTTCGGATTATTTATATTTCCTTTATATATATGATGATATAGATTAAAAATAAAAAAAAAATTTCATTTTAGTTAAAAGAATAAAAAAAAAAAAAGGAAGGAGAAGAGTTTAAGAGGATAACATAGCAAAACCCATATATAAAAAATATAAGGAAAGAAAAGGATTTTTGTGTTAAAAAGGCTTTGTTTTTTTGTCCACCTTATGATCCACCTTAACGATCATATTTTCTTTAGAATAAATTACACAGATCAAAATGATTAATTAAGAAAATTGTTGTTGTTTTTCTTTGATTTTCTTTTCTTACGATTTGTTACATTTGATGGCAATGTTGAATCGCCGCCGCCGACGCCGCCACCGCCACCGCCACCGCATGGGTTTGCTGCCTGCAAAGTCTTTGATATCATATTTTGTTTTTGCTGTTGTTGCTGTTGCTTCAGTAATAATTTCTGTTGTTTGGCATCACTACAAGAAGCCGAAAATTTACTCCATATATTACCAAAGGCTGTTGCTGTTGCATTGGCTGCATTTGTGGCATTATTGTTAACGGACGTTTGCTTCATCTTTTGCGGCTTCTCTATGTAATTATTATTCGTTGATGTTAATGGCGGTGCTATATCCTTATGCCGCTGTTCTGACTTATTGCTAATACTATTTTTTGTCGCTATTGTTTCTTGCTGATGCTGCTGCTTTCTTTGTTGTTTTAGTTGCCCTATTTTATCGATCGCGGGCGTTTTCGTTTGGGATCTTTGTAACATTTGCCTTTGGGCGTATTCTCATGAACTTTTCAACTTACCATTTAATTCCGCAGTCGAGCAACGGCTACTACTGCCACCCACTGCGTGCTCGGTAGCTTGTGTTGCCACATGTTGGATACCCTTCGATATGCAACCTTGATACACCGGCTTCATAAACTATTTACAGCATTGAATAAAATCAAATCATTGCAATATTAATGTCAATAAGACTCACATTATCCCATAAAAAGTTGGCTAAATGATCGATTTTGTTACCAAAAGCTGTCAACTCCCCGCTATATCTGTACAAGAAAAAAAAAAAAAAAAATAAATAAATAAATAACCAAAGCGAATTTTGTCTTCACAATTTCATCTACACAGAACGAATCGTTTCGTTTGCTTACCTTACGTATGACCACAAGACTAAAAGCAGCAACGACAATCCCATTATCAAACTGGAGAAATTGGCAAACGTATACAGACCAAATAAGCCAAAGATACCGCTTAATATATAAAAAATTACTGCAACAGCAAAGAAGACAGCTGGTGTTCGGGCGGCTTTAAAAATATTTTTACTTTCATTGTGCGCCCGATAACTTTCAAACATTGTTTCGATATCTTCGTCTAATTGTTGGCGAAATCTTTCGGTGAATTCTTCGCCGCCCATTTTACGTTTCGCAAGAAACTAAAACGATTGAAGAGTTTTAATAAGATTGTAAAGCTTTGACCTTGGGAACTTATAAAAATCAATAATTTTTTGATAAATACCTGAAAAATGGCTTTGTCTTTCACGCGTAAATGTTCAGATTCCAAATGAGCTGAACTTAAGTACGGCCGGGTACCACCGCAAACATCTTGCATTAATTGATTATATAATTCTTTGGCCGCTGCTATCGCCGTCAAATGATTGGCTTCGGCTGTGGCCTAATAGCGAAATATATTTGAAAAAATCATTTTTTTTTTTAAGAAATTAATTTTGCATATTAATCACCTACCACTAGCATGCTTTTAGGTTCAGGTAATTCATTGCCTTTATAGATGGCCACATATGATTGAAAGTATTGAATTAAATCCTTGGCACGTACTTTCTGACCATTGATCTTTTTAATAACCAAATTTTCGGGTGAAAGCAACATAGGCACCAGAGATCGTAAATTTTGTTTGAATTCCGTCCTAATATCTTTAAGGCGGCCGTCAAATTTAGGATTTGTGGCGACATCTAAACCCGGATGCGGCATTAGAAAACATGATACGTCATCGAAACATGACGAAATATGACGTCTCAGTGATTGCAATTCTGGATGTTGTCTATCGGATATCTCTAGCCGTCTCTTTAAAATGAGTTCGCCGCCTGCGGCACCGTAATCGGCTTCATAGGGAAAACTCCAATCACGCACGAGAAACTGTAAACGTTGAAATGGCTTAGTTCCGGTATCGGCCAATGCAAGCCGACCGTATTCGGTGAATAATTGCAGATGTTGTAGATCGTCTTCTTGTATATTTTGTGATAAATTGTATATTTGCACTGAGGATACCATTGTGCTGAGCGCAAATACGGTAGCACATTCCCGTACTGTGCTCTGACTATCGAAAGTACCCTGCGTATCCAGCAGTATGACAGCGACTTTATCACCATTCGGTGTATCGACACAAAATATATCTGACCACATTAGAATGCCGGTTGTGTCACGTTCAGAACCACCGCGCCAAGAGAATCCAGTTAATGGTTGATTATCATTACCCAGCCAATCGCCAGTTTCGTGATTTACAACCTGCTATAATCAACGAGAAATTATAGATAACCTCCTCTCGTGCATAATAAAATTCATAATTCATTCACTCACATTCGCGTACATATAGCGTAGAAAAAAATCTAATAAAAAACTTTTGCCTTTGCGAAAGGAACCCGCTACTGATACTACACAAATGTAGCGATCTTTAACGTCGTCACGCATCAGGACCTCACTGAGTTCATCTTCATTTAATACAAATGAATGGTCCTCTAGCGTAGTGATTATTTGTAACGCCTTTCCCGACATGTTCCAAATGAATTTTTGCCGATCAATATGTGATAGGTTTACGTCGTTTCTTTCGATTTATTATATTTCCTTCGATCGATCACGCCTTGTACTTTATTTTCTATTTTTTCAGCAGTAATTTGATAATAAAAGGAAATTAATCAAAAGCTTATACATAAGAGTTCTTTCAATAAAGTTGAGGAAAAGGAAATTTTCGTAAAACCTGCAACGAAATATTTGTATAAAAAGTTTTAGTACCGTTCTTTCGCACATATGCGCAAATGATTTTTTCAGTTCCTAAGATTCGAAACCAAATTAAAAGAGATTTATATTAATTTGTTTTTTTTTTTTTTTTTTTTTTTTTTTTTTTTTTTTGATTGAGTTATTGAGCTATTTTGGCCTAAGCCAATGAGATATGTGGTCTATAGGTCCAAGTTGCAGATAATTTATTTCACTTTAGTGGTTATCCAATAGTCCAAATGAAGAATTTGCAGAGTGCTGCAATAGCTTTGCCGGATTATTAAAAGGTGAAAGGTAAAAAACCTTGGATAGTAGAAAATATACGGAACTAAGTAATAATTTAGAAACAATCATTTCCTATATTGGTTAATTTTGCAACATTCAAAGCCAAGAGGCCAAATAACATCAATTTGTAATTATTTTTTTTATTTAACAATGTAGATAAAGCCTGGGCTTGACATTGGTGTTCGCAAATTTAAATTCCCCCCAAAAGTTGAAAGGGAACACTCGAAGCAATCGACGATATTAAGGGATTAATACGTTAAGGACGGCGTGTACCACCGGCGGCTCTCAAGCGAATGCTTTATCTGGCGGCGAGTACCACCGGTGGCTCATATCAGCTACAGTTTTGTTAGATGGAAAAAACTTTGTGATTAAAAATTTTATTTTTTTTTGTTGAAAAATTCATGAGCTTATTTCATAAGTAAACGGTAAATTCGCAGACGGCATGCACACAACGATCCGTGGGTCTGCGCGCTGCATAAACGTAGAATAAAAGGAAGCTACACTTTTGAGTATGAAGTTTGGGGGTAAAGAACATTTTGTGCAAGGCGCCGCCAGATAAAGCAAAGTACGATTTTTGCTGCCGACCAATGAAGTGAAGCAGGAAAAACTGCACCGTCCTTAACGTGTTAATTATTAATTGATGTAAGAACATTTCAAACAGCTTTGCCGTTAAGATTTCGCTGCATTGAAGTCAATTTGCATTGCGTTGCGGTTAACTTATGCGTTTGATTTACATAAAACGAAAAGTTTTTTCATTCGCAACATTTGTTCACATCGCTGTACATAGTCGATTCGAGAGAACTTTTTAATTAGATTAGAAATCCTGGGGAGGGAGTAATCATGAAACTGAAAATTAGCTTCCACTTTGGATTCTATACAAGTACAAGGGCTACTTCATCGGTTTATTCAAAACCTGTAATTACTCTATATATATATATATATATATATATATGAAAGATACATCTTATGTATGGCATATTTGATGTATGAAGACACGTAATAAGAAATAACAAAAAGTTTAATTAACTGCGCTGAACAATAAGAACCGACATCTTTTACACAATATTTAGCTTCCAAAGAATTGAATAACACAAACACTTGCTGTCACAACAAAAAAGAAAGAAACAGAAATTTAAAGAGTCAAACATCTGATTATAAAGCGTAAGCAAATTTTTGGTGACGCTGGCACATGATCATCTTATTCAGTTTTTTTATATACCACATAATATACAACACACAAGCTCGATTTTAAAAGTTCATCAATTAAATCATAATCGAATCGAAAGTACATCATAGAAAAACAACTTGCACAAGACACATTGATACACAAAATAATTTCAATCGTTTCTTTCAACTGGTGGTGATCTCAACATTAACAAAGTTGTTTAATGGATAATACAAAATTGCCTAAGAATGCGGCATATATATATATATATATATATATATATATATATGTATATATGTCGCGAATTTAAAAAATAACAACAAAGCACTTACTAAACTGTGAACCCGAGCACCAACCAAGCACTCCACACTCGACACTCCACACACTATACACAAACGTGATCAGGTTGTAATAAGGATTGTTTGCATTAGTTCGATGCCTGCTTAATACATATATTTTTTTGTGAAAATGTGACAACATGCACATATAAGTAAATAAGAAACTTCACGACTGTGTATATCTTTTGATTTGATTAGCGTAAGCGGTACTGCAGAGAGTCATACACTCTCCTATGGATTTCTCTCTTTTTTCTCACATCATACATACTTGTGGGAAACAAAATTCTACAGATAAAAAAAAAAAAACAAAAAAACAGGTTTTCTTTCATTTCATACTAAGCCTACATACTACATGTTTACACGCACATAAATAAACTACAAAGTAAAGCTGAGAAAATAAGTATCGAATACATTACATACAGTGTATGTGTATGTGTATGTGTGTATGTGTGTGTGTTTGTGTGCGTGTGTGTTTGTCCGCCTGCGCTGCAGTGAGAGAGAGGATCAGTCGGTCATATGCCATATGAATGGAGAAATAAAAGCAACAAAAATTCAAAAGAATAAACTAATACTACTACTACTACTACTACTACTACTGCAGCTATTACTAATGCTACTCATATTTATATATATATATATGTGGATACGCCGAAGTAGATACAAGAGAGCTGCAAGAAAAATGTAAATGGTCGCGCGTATATTGTATGTAGATGAAAACCAGTTATGACATAAACCAAGAGTATCTCTGAACAGACGAAGAGATAAACAATTTAAAGAGAAGCATTCTAAGTCTGGGTTTAGTCAAGAACTAAATAAATAAGTAAATGTTTGTAGTGTGTATCTAATCAAATCAAAAAAAAAAAAAAAAAAAAAAAGACAAAAAAGAAAAGCACAAAGTAAAATTTTCCTGGTCTGGTCTTTTTAAAAGCGATGTGTAATAAAATTGTGTGATAAAAAAAATTGTTTTTTTTTTGTTGTTTTGTGAAAACAAAATCAAAAGCAGGTTAAAAATAATTTAAAAAGAAACCCTCCCGTGATAAAGAATAAACCTTAATTAGTGTTCTAATTGTCATCCGAGGTAAAGCAGATCGTGACGGAATGTTATAACAAAAATTTTTTATTTACTCAAATGAATGACTTCTTCTTGCTGCATATTCAGTTTTATTCGATATTTTTCTACAACGGTTGAGATGGCGCAACAATTTAATATAACAAACTCGATCATAAGTAGCCGCCGCCCAAATATTTTCATCATTTTCATCATAATTTATTTCGCGATCGATTCTACATTTAGTCAATATGAGACAACATATCATTATGCGGGTTGTTTTACAGAGGATGCGAATTTGCTTAGGGAATCCGTAGATGCGAAAACGCCACAAAATTGTGTCGAATTGTGTGATGTGAAAAATTTCAATTATGCGCTATTGGCAAATGAGAAATGTTCTTGCTCCAATAATATTACGTTAACGATGAGGCAAGATGATGAATTGTGCAATATATCATGTTCGGGTAATAAGTTGGAATATTGTGGTGGAATTGGTTTAAACAGTTATTATACAACCCGTTGGGCGTTGAATGCAGCACCGAAACATTTGCATTTAATAAATGCTAGTGAGAATAGCTTAACCCTTGCCTGGGATATTTATCAACCGTTAAATCTTTTCTTAACATCGTTGACGGTAACGACGATTACAAATTATCGCATCAAATCGGAATTAACGAAAACATATTCGTCGCTGCCTCTATTCCAACCACCGGAATTCCTTATACAAAATACTCAAACGGAAATTGAAATTACCGATCTATATCCGGCCACTGAATATAATATTAGTGTGGAAAGTATTTGTGAAGGGAGTAAAAAAAAATGCGGAATATCTTATCTACTAGCTAGCACGTTAATTGGCGAACCTAGTCCAATTCCCGCCCAACCGATAATATTGAAGACCACCGACACGACAATAACAATTCAGATCGATTCAATACGCAACGATAATGGACCGATTAATAAAATTCTAATTATTGTTGAACGTCTCGATGATACCATAAGTCAGGCATTTGATGCTAAATTGCTGGGCACTTTGCACGAAGCTGAAGATAATGGTTTGCCTTATTATATAGCCGCCGAACTTGATTATATCAATGGTAGCCGGAAATTTACAGTTGGCGATGGCAAACTGTACGGACGTTATAAAAACTCACCATTGGATACTAAAACCTCGCATATACACATCAGCTTGGGAGTGGTACGTTTTCAAAAATATCTTATCTTACTTGATAATATTGAATATTTTGATTTGATTTAATCGTTTTAGGTAAGCACTTTGAATGGAGTTACTCGGACACTGTTTACACGCGGAACACATGATCAGCACGCTTTGTCTATAAAGAATTTTAGTTATTCAACTTTTGCGCCTGGACGCGAATCACTTACAGCATTAACCGTTTCGTGCAGCGTTTTCGGTATTTGCTTCATACTCGCTATCATCACTTACTTCTATTTGCGTTACAAGACATGCCAATTGCGCGCACTAAGAGGCAACTCGCATGAAATGACTATGCATCAACCGATAATTGAACGAGAAAATAATGGCTTTGTTGTGGAGGATGAACTACCCACTACGGAAAGTTTTAAAGAACAATTGAATTCAATTTTGGAATCATTACATAATAGCAAACGATTGCCGCGTAATAATTTACGTTTAAATGTTAATGACATGATCGCTGAGGGTAATTATGGCGAAGTCATTACGGGAAAATTGCTACAGACTTCTTCTCAATCTGAAGGCGGGGCGGATTGTCAATTGCATGTTTTGGCGTTAAACGATTTGTCTAGCATCGATCAGGCCAAGTTGATAAGAGAGTTCCGTAATATCAGCAAATTAGGGCAACATGCAAACATCTTGGATTTCTACGGTGTTTCGGCGAGCAGCGATTACTTTTACGTGATTTTTGAACATCAAAGTGTGATACTAAAACGCCGTCTTATTGAGAGCCGAAGAGCACCGAACAGCTTTCGTATAACAACTCTATCGGAACAATTGGTATTGCAATGGATTTATGAGATGGCCAGCGCTATGGAATATTTGGAAAAATTTAAAGTAGTTCATAAGCGATTATGTTCGCATAATATTTATGTTACTGATGAGAGTACATTGAAATTATCAGTGTTTGGTCCTGTGCCTTATACGGCAAATCAAAAAAAAATCGATATAACACGTTGGTCGGCACCCGAAGTCTTACGTTATCAACGGCATTCACCGAAATCCGATATTTGGTCATTTGGTGTAGTGGCATGGGAATGTTGCACCTTGGGCGGCACGCCATATAGTCAACTCAACAACAGTAAACAATTATTAGACGCTTTACAGAGTGGTTCGCGACCGGCACGACCTTCCTTCATATTTCACGATCTCTATCAAATGTTATTGAATTGTTGGACTTTAGAGCCGAGTGAACGAACCACTTTTGAAGATTTAACTTATAATGTGCGTCAATTGATGACATCAGCTCGTCATGCATTATGCTTTGATCGGCAACAGGAACAGCAGGACAACAATATTCTCGATACACTACCATTCTATATGCCTCTATTAGAAGTAGAAGCATAGAATTGAACAATTTGATCGAGTTGTTCAAAACGACTAAACGCTAATACAAGCTTTAAGTTCAAATGGTAAACCAATAATAATAAGTCGTACTATATTATATTTTAAGCCATAGTTGTAATAATATAGAAAATGTAAACTTTGATAGAACATATATATATATTTATGTATAATAAAAAAAAAAATTAATTATTAGTGTGCTACACATATATATTATGTTATTTATTATTTTGCACTTTACCAGCGACAGTGGTATAGAACGATAAAACTATCCGATGGAACTACTGTTGCATGTTCATGACATTATGGCAATGTGTTTACCCTAAGACCCTATCCAACTGGCGTTCCCCGCTTAACACACTATTTTTATTTCTTTTTTATTTTCATTATATCGGTAATAAGAGCGCAATTTTAATCGCAATTAGTTATATATATACATATGTTTTTTATCAAAATTTGGTTTCCATACAACACGGTATACATTGCATTGATTTACATTATTTCATGATATTTTTTACAATGGTACGGATTTTTTTAACTTATGTTATATGAAACTTTACATTGTGTTATTTTAATTGACTTACAAAAGTCTCGATACAATGCGACACGACTTAAGCGTGTTCAGCAAGGAACGTCTATATATATTATATTCAGATTCCTTTTACCTATCGTAAATATGATTTGAAATATGTGTTATATGTAATGCGATGTATGTTGTATTAAAAAAGTATGAATAACGATATCTGTACATTCTTCTAATATCGAATATCGTTAATGACTGCGCTGGTAGGAAAAAAACATTTGTTCAATTTCTATCTATTAATATATAAAAATTACTTACTTACACAGTTACAATTTTTACACTACAACATGCTACGCAACAAAAAAATGATACGCAATCAGAAGGAGTTTTATTCGCTGTTTCATATGAGTGGAAAACTACGATATCCTAAACAGTCCAAATTTTCTTTTTATTAGTTGTTTAAAAAGCTACGAATAAGATTTGAACGCATTTGCATATATGCGATAAATTCAATTATGTCCTTTCACTTACATAGTTTTAATAGCTTATATAACTTCAATTGGTTTGTGATTCTTATTTGTATATACATATATATGCATTCGCTTGGTGAAGCTCATTTCGGTCATTTTCGTAAAAATATTTTATAGATTAATATAGTAGATATATATCTTTGCATGAGTTCAAGTCACTTGTTGGATAAACTCTTTCCTTATGATGCAGATAAGTTTCAGTTTTCAATATGCCGTTCCAGATAGCACTGTCATCCCAGCTTATACGAGAAATTTTTTTTTTAAATTAAAAATTGCTTTTTAACCAGCATTTATAAAAGTACAAGTATTTTTTATTTTTCTTTACAGTAAAATGTTACGTCAATATCTTGAGAATCAAAAAAATGCATTATTGCGTGTTATACCTAAGTATAGGGTAAGTCTTCGCTCTATGTCCAAGTTATTGGGTCCATTTGCTTTAAGACGAATTGCGCGGATAAGAAAACTTGACACTTTTGTTTTTCACTTTTCTATTCATCTTACAATTGCATGATGATTTATTAGAAAAGTTGCTTAACACAGCTGCTTCCCATCTTTTCTCATCTACTTTTTGGTTAACATAAACGTTATCAAATCAATAGTTCTAAACGCGGAATAAAATGCAGATATATCTTTGGTTAAAAATAAATAAATTTCATGTATTTTGTTTTAATAAATTTGATATAATTTTTTAAATGCCATTAAAGGTTCAACATAAATGCACAATGATTTATTTATTTATTTATTTTCTTTTTTTTTTTTTTGCATTTGCTTCATCATTGCGTCTATGCATAATTTTGTTGCAAAATTAACAATCAATTTTGAGATTATATCAAAAAAGCGATTAAAGCTTGAGTTAATCGATGTTAGTTGTGGTGGTGGTACGATACGAACAAGCAAAGTTTTTCACAGCCAACGCGTTTCCGGCTTTTCAAAAATTAAAAATCGAAATCCATTGAAAATATTTCTTACTTTCTTTTCATGTTGAACACTAAATTTCGTTCATATGCCGATATTATTTTGAAAACACTTTCTCAACACATTAACTCAAATTTCATTTTCAGCATTCAAAACCACTTCAAACGAAATGGATAAACAACCGTGACAGAACTTTCGCAGCGGATTCTTTCGAGATCATGCATAGACGCAATAGTTAGAACTATAATAGTATTATGCAGAAAAACAAAAGAATGTAAGGCAGTGTGCAAATGCCTCTCATTTATTCAACTATTTAAAAATTGATATTCTTCAGCTTGAAGAAATTTTCGCAAAAATGTCATTTTACAACATTTAATATCTTTTTCTTATTAAAAACAAAAAAAAAAAAAAAAAAAAACAACCAAATTATTGAAAAATTATCATTCGTCTGATATTTTGCCCAATTTACGTATAATTAAGAGATGAGGGACAAAAAATAAATACATTTTATGCACATAAGTGTGTAATGAAACACATTTAAATTATTACACAATTAAAAAATAGAACATGAAAAATAAATATATGAATAAGCTTTGTATACTATGTGTGCGTTCGGGAAAATTTTTGTTGTTTGTTATGTTTTGAGGTGATGGATGATGATGATGATGATGATGATGATGCATATAGTACCAAAAGAAAAGAAGTACACATCGTATGCAAGCAAGATTTTGGCATTGAAATATATTTTTATGAATATTTCATAAACTTTCTTAAACTTTGCACCTATTATTATATTATTTACTTCTTTTTTTTTTCTATTTTTTTTTTTTTTTTTCTTTTTCTTTTATACGTATTTATTTATATATATGTAATAAAATCAGTTCATTGATACCGTTCTACATAAAACGTATAAGAATAGTAGTAATGATTGAACGTCGATAAAAGCCGTAAAATAGAAATATATTTTCAAAATAAATTTTTAACACGCAGTTTGGATAGAAAATAAATTGAAGAGACAATAAAATATATTAATAATTGTACCGTGCAGACAAGAACAATTTCAGAGGTAAAGAATCACTGCGAACACTAGGAATATTTGTAAAGTGTGACAGCGTACTATTCGAGATTGGTATATAAAAGGCAAGAAATTGTAAAAAAAAAAAAAAAAAAAAATATGTATAAATATATTAATAAAAATAAAGAAAATCACAAAATCAGAGAGGAAAATTTACAACTTTATACATTTTTGAACGGGAGAGAATATCAGAGAAAGTTTTCAAACAAGAGCGCAATTTGTCGTTAAGCAGAACAGGAATAATTTTTGTTTTGTTTGTTTTCATCGTCACAAAACTGGGGGACAGAGTTCAAATTAGTTTTTTTTTAACAGTGCAATTTAACGAAAGGTTAACACGCCTTATATCGAGATATTAAAAAATTTTGTATATAAATTTTTGAATTTCATAAATCTATTGAAACTTTTTCAGGATAGTATGCGTGAATACGAAGCATGACTCTTCTCTCCACTCTATATTCAGTACCTAAGTAGCTTTACGAATGTGAAATCTCTTCGACTTTTTCTATTCTTTAATCGTAACGTATTGTTTTCATTTCTTCCTCCTCCTCTTTCTGTTCCGAGTGCGAAGGAAAATTCAAACTTAGTACAAGGCCAAACAGATCGATCTTTAAAATGCATATATTTTCCTCATAAGCGAGGAAAGAACTGAAAAAATTTAATATATGTATGTAAAATGTGCTTTCGTAAAGATCTTTTCTTTTTTTTTTTTGTTCTAATATAACTTCACAAATTACCTTTTGTAAACGTGATGTCAATAATTAATGGAACATGTCTATCACATTTGTGTGATCACTCGGGAAGAAACACTTTACAACGACATCCAGCGTTTATATTGCTGGCGCAAAAAACTAGAGAAGAGTACAGCCATGCTATTCCAAAAAATGTGTTCGTTTTTACAGTAAGAAAAGTCGTATCGGAAATATCATAAATAGGTGAGAAGGTACGAATTAGAATTCAATTGGGGATCCGTTAATACCCACCATCTCGAACTGAGATTTTAGCAATGCAGAATATTTCATTTGACTCTAGGAGGTATCTCTAGGATCTAGGTTTTAGATCGTTCACACAGTTGTGACAGTTTTAGGTTTATGGTGGGCGTGATTTTTAAGCTATAAACATATGAACCGGATTTCACAGTGTGAGCAAATTATGTATACCGTTGAACATGATGTATACCCATTAACTAAATTTCATTCTTTTCACTGCACTTCATTTTTGTTGACGGCAAGAGTCCTAACTTAAGGCGAACCGATAATGAGTGGATGTTGGCATTTTGCTCTAATCGCAGAAATGAACGATTTTGTGAAACCTTTAGTGATGATTATAAAAAACTCCCATTGTTTAGTGTTTGAGAAATGATTGCTTATGCATTTTCCTAACTGGATTCATGGCAAATTTTCAAGTGGTATATCCTTTAAAAAAATAAATAGAATTTCGATTATTTTACAAAGTATTGCGATCAGTGCTTATATTAATTATTGTCCACACGAATTCTAAGATTAAAGACAGAGCTACAGTATATATATATGTATCGCTGCTTACTGAAACGTGATGTGATAAACTCTTATCAAAAAAAAAAAAAAAAAAACTTGCACGCACGTACATACAAACAAACGAAATGCTTATATAAAACATAGGAGAGAATCTTTAAAATAGCGAAAAAAAAGTATATTTTTATATTCGTACTTACATACATGAAAAGTATAAAGTGCACATGTCGCACACATTACAGATGAGAAATAGCATAAATCAGAAAGTGTTTGTAGAACTTTTACAAGTTTATCCTTTTCCGTGATTTAAGAAAACGATTAACGTGCTTAGATGAAGACTCAAAAAAAAAAAACCTGACCTTTTTCTTAATAATTCTAGACCCAGGATATTGGTCAATTATTGTAGAAGAAATACTTATACATAGCCACAATTTCCTAAATGATGTTTACATTTATGGAAATAGTTTTAGAAAGAGAATTGCGTCGTCATTGAACAGCCTAACATTGTTGCTTTACAAAATTTTAAATTTACTTCATTTTCTACGCCTTTTGCGTAATTAATTTTAATTTCTAATATATATATATATATATATATATATATATGAGAATGTAAAAATAATAATAATAATATTTGTACTCTCAGCAGATGTAATATTTTTTTCTTTTTCAAAGATGTACACAATTTTGCCAAATATTTTTTTGCACAGGATACTATTCTTCTTGAGATTTATTCTTTTTTTCTTATCATCACTTACAATTTCTTAGAGCTGATAAAGGGAGATATAGTTATAGTTACAAAAACGTTATTTTTGACAATTATAAAAAATTTTGTAAATATAATTTTTTGATATTTTTTCGAGTTTATTATTTTCCACAAATTATTTTCTTTCTTTTTGTATAATTTATAATTTTTTATATTGTTGCCAGACGACGAATCATTATTAAAATATTTAGGAATATGACTGCCACAGAAAAATAGTTACCCTGTGGAATTCTTTTTTTTTTGTTACGGGCAATTAAAACGGATCTACATGAGAAATTATTTACGCTGATTGCAGGACTATAGATACTCCGTAAATTAGTTTTTGGAGAAGGAATAAATTCTAGGACTAAAAAGTGCTCGTCCCACATTTAATAATAATGATATCGAAACTCTAATATTTTTTTCCTATTATTAAGTGCAAAAATATTTATTTTACTCAGTACATGATTGTATGGGCAAAAAATAAAGTAAATTAAAAATAAGGCACTGACAGAACTAACAGACACGTGCGTCATAGGGTCCGATAAATAAGAATTTCATAATTTATGTATCTTTAAAGGTTCTTAAAACTATAAACAGAAGTGACTGTTACTTTTTTTTTTTTTTAAACCACACTGTTCTCATGTTATAGTTTCCTGAAATCGCAGCCAACTTCAGCATGTAACTCAACTAAAAGAAATAGTTGAAGATAAATTTTGCAGCGATCGCAACGAAAATATAAAATTAAAGTCGAAAAAAAAAGTTTATGAACAGGATTTCAATAAATTAAAAAAGAATTAAGTGCAAATAATAGTAAAATTTAAGGAAAAAGAGAAGATTTCAACAAGCAAAGAAAAAATGAAGAGAGAATGAATGTAAATACTTTTGAAGAAGAATATTTTGTTTGAGATTTCATCTCTGATAGGTAAAGTGTAATAAAATATAAATATAGCTTTTTATAATTTGTCTTTTCATGCAGAAAACAAAACACAAATGATTTATTTATCGTTTTCATTTTTCGCGCCCATTGTTACTATGTTGTAAAATGCGGAAAAGTATAAGCGTTGCAAAAAAAAATCACTTTTTTTCAATTTTTATTATACCAGTACATGAAGACTTCTGTTTCCAAGTCTATTAAGGTGGTAATTTGTTTTCGCGTTTTTCATAATTTTCCCGCTTATTGCGGAAACTATTTTTGTAATTGTGTTAGTGCGTAAAGCTTGGATAAGTGTTGCTTGTGCAAGTCCCGCAGTTGTCTTGCATCAACGTCCTTTTATTCCTCTGGAAGTGTCATTAAAAGAAAGATAAGAAAGTAAATTCGTTACTTCAAATTTTTAAGAAAAATACTTTGTTCCTTTTTTAATGTTTTTAAAAAAAAAGAAAAAAAAAAAGTGGCTGTTCATGGAAACACGACTTTTATGACAATCATTTCAAATTGGTGAGTTTTTTTCTAAATTACTTCTTATATTTAGTTCTAAGCAAATAAACTAATTAAAGTAGTAAATCTGAACAAGGTCTGAAGATTAACTTAAAAAAAAAAAAAGGAAAAAAATCTCTCGAATTATTCATCATACTAATTTAGACAGGTTTTTAAACCACTTTTTTGTGATATAAATATAATACTATGTTTGTGCCTTTGACATCTCTCAGTAGGCGTATCAATTTTTAGGATATTTTGAAGAAGTTTGATCACATTGATTTCAATGGCAAATCAACTGCGTTGATCAAAAAATACATGGACAGACATTAGCCGAACACCGACGGACTGATCAAGTTAGACAGATCAAGAAAGTGGGTTCTGAAGTGTTCCCGAAAAGAGCGCGATATTTTAAATTACGAGCATACTCGAATGAAATTGACGCGCGAACATTTTCACTAAGTATATATGTATTCCTATTATAGCAGGTATTTGCTCATTGATTGGAGAATGATTGAAAAGTCAAACAAAGGTTTGCGCTTATTGCTTCTGTTTGGCCCGATATAGCTGGTCTTTCCAATGCAATTTTAATTCGAAAATAAGAAAAAATGATCAGTATTTTGATAATTACGGACAGGGAGAGAGATTCATGCACCTAACTAAATGTTTGCTTAGTAAAGCCTGATGACTATGAAAGGACATCATTTTGGGAGAAACATGGTTCTTCAAGACATATTTCTAATTAGCAGAGAGTGAAATATCAAATATTCTTACTTCGGACCGGCAATTCGGATGTCTATGCGCTTATATGTATGTTTTTTAAACGGCTTTCTGAATATCAATATTTTTTAGTCCTGAACTTTATTCTTTTGGTCTAGAATCCGAATTGGTCTAGAAATCGCGAAAAGTAATGCACAAAGAGATTTACAGTACATGTAACGAGTTGCTGCCTGGGCATTTGCCTGGTACGTAATTAAAAAACAGAAACCAAAATCGTTTGGAATATTAAAAAAGAAAATCGTGTTGCATATTCCAAAAAAATTTTAAATCAAATTTTTGCATTTGAAGAGTCTTTATCTTCTCTCCCGTTGTTGACATTTTACAGGCATTGTATCTATTTGCTTGTATACATTTAGGCGGCTTGTATCATCTTGTATTGATAATGATTCGTACAAAAATAAATTCGCATCATTCCTCTGCATCTGCTTGAACATCACAAATCTGCAAAGAGAGATAAGCAAATGACAAGAGAGATGAAATTATGAAAATCTTTTGTAGCAATGACAACAGAACGGCAGTGAACGGCTTCTTCATCTAGTTTGGTGGGGATAAAACGATTACACCTTAAGTTTAATTTTGCAAGCTTTTCATTTATTATTTGTAAGGACGATGAAACGCGAGCATATAAATTATCTCAGAGTTTATATATTTGAAAAAATATTTATAAACTTTTCTATTATTGGCAAAGTTTTTTCTGTTTTTGTTTGTCATGTTTAAGTTTGGTTTACTCTACGGATAGAGGAATGTTTAAATTATTTATTTTCATTTTTGTCTAGTTTTTTATTTAATACTTTTTTTGCTCTTCACACTCTGCAATCAATTCTCGTTTTTGTGAATAGTCTCTTTCTCGATTTGCCGCTCTCTCAGTGTCTTTCTCTTAATATCAATCACAAAGTAGTTGCAAATGAAATATCAAGTGGTACCACCAGCATCCATAGTAATTATATACAAATATTTTTTTTGGCTAAAACAGTTCGCTTACAAACGCTAAACCTTAAAATACATTAATTAACGGCGCGCGTTTTTAAAATTTTTTCTATACTATACATATACAATTCATATATTGTTAAATACTCTAATATATATACACCCATATATACAAAAACGCACACACATATATACTCCCCCTCCATAAAAAAAAAAAGCAGAAAGTATATTCATATAGAGCATATTTTCTATAACAAGAAGAGAAATTTTCTTTGTTTAAAAAAAAAAAATAATAATAATAATAAAAGAAATAAATTTGAAAAATAAAATATGAAAAAGGACGAATGCCTTAACCGTAGTCTCAGCAAAACCGAGGAGATTTAACAAAAATGAAAGAAATATGCATGTGGCGACAACGATATATATAAAATCATTTAAAAAAGTGTATTTATTGTTTAATATATTTTTTGAAAATGCGTTTTGGCTACGGAATTAAGTTGCATCAAAACATATTCGTTTGTATATACTTGTAAAAATAAGAGCAAAGAGATGTTATTTTCTTATTTTTTTTTTTTTTTTTTTTTTTTTGTTCTTTTGTTATTCCTTTATAAGCACGATATTGTGTGTCTGTATGTGTTGCATACAGTTTTCAAATGAAAATTGATTTTTGATGGTTCGACACAACAGCGGAGAAAGTCGATAAAAAAAATAATAAAAAATAAAACAGAAATAAACGATGAAATTAAGAAAATAAAAAATAAAATAACAGCAGCTAATATACGTATACATACGTATACATATATATGTATGTATACATATATAAATATAAATATAGTATATATGTACTTATATTTACATATATAGATATATAGATATATATATGTAGGCATGTGTAAAAAAAATTTATTTTAAAAATATTAAAATGTGTAAATGTGAGTGTATTGTGGTTGTATTTTCATTGAAGCTCAATTTAAGTAAATTAACAACAAATCGATATATGTTATAGTTAAATTACTGCTAACCTAAGAAGTAAAAAAAAAAAAAAAAAAAGAAAAGAATTAATAAATGAAATTATTTAAAACAGTTTAATTTTCACTTAAAAATTTGCGATAAAATATTTAAGTAAATGATAAAAATTTCCTTTTCGCAGAGTATAAAAAAATGTTTTTAATTAAGATTTTTTTCGATGAATGACACAGAAAGGAAAACGGATGTTATGTTTGTTGTAATTTTAATAGGTGTGTATAACTGTAAGTTTACAGATTACATTAAAATATAACACACATGTCCACATACACACATAAACACAAACACACTCATATATATATATATATATATATATATATATTTATATACACATATATATATATATTTATATAAACATATATATATATATTTATATACACACATATATATATATTTATATACACATATATATATATACATACACGCAAGCACGCACGTACGCACGCATAAACTAGAGACAGTCGACAGTATATGTATATAGGTATATATCTACACAGACATACTTACTGTATGTATATATGTATACCCTTTTATTCTCGTAACTTTTGAGCATCTTTGGCTCTTCAAACTCTTTGGTTAACGGCTGTATTTTGCATAGACAGGCAAACATGGCGCTTTCCCATTTCCTTTTTTCTTATTACATCGAATTATGGATCAAGTTGATAAGATTCTTTTACATGTTTCCCGCTTTACCTACTTCTCTAATAGTTTTCACGCTCAAGTCTAACAATTTTAAAATTTGATATGCACATAAAGTAATTAATAATTGATGATAGGATAAATAAGTATTTTCTAATGTTCATATATATTGATGTGGTTCGATTGAATGAAATGAGTATGAGACGTTTGATCTCCTGCTTTTTCAATATTTTAGTGGTTTTTCAATATAGGCGTACGTAACGTATGAGTTCGCATACTTAGACGCATACACATGTATATATATACATTTAGCAATTTAGAATTTTGAATTTGAATCTTTGCAATCATTTGAAACATAAAACTTTTACACATGTATATGTAATACATACATACATACATTTATATATATATATGTATATTCCATTCCATTTGTATTGTAGTATTGGGTAATATTTTGTAATATATTTATTTGTTGTGTTCTGAGTTGTTAAAAGTATCCATTATGTAAGTTGTGTTTTTTATGTTGCCTTCTGGGTGGGTGTGTGTGTGTGTGTGTGTGTTTGTGTGCGCGTGTTTTCAAGTGTCTGCTTATTAACATCATACTTCGTTTTTTACTGTCGTCTTTCACTCTACATTGTGTACCGTTTATTATTTCTATTTATTATTTAGATTTTCTATTATAAATGCAATTCTATTATTTAACGGTAACTAAAGTTATTGCGCGGCGTTGCCAGATGTTGTTTACTAAGTAGCATAGAGTCATTTATATTTCTATGATAGATAGTTGATGCTGCCGATATCTGGAATTCGCGGAAAATGGCCCCAAAAATAGTCGGAAAAAATCTTCAAACTTATTTTAAATCGATAGTGATTTGATTCATTTACTATTTATCAAGGTCATTTTGATTATCGACATGTTTTCTGAATCATATTTGTCAGGTTGAATGAACGACTCTTCAATGTTTTCGGTTTTTCAGTTTTTGTTTTTTCGGAATTAGAGTTTAGATGGGCAACAAGTGTAATTTCGTTCATGCAATGCACGTATACTATATTCCCGAGTTAAAGCGATTATAATACTAATTTTTTATTTCAATGAAAATTGTTCGAGAAACTTCCAGGAGAAAGGATGAAAGAGTTTTGACGAAAGTTCGCATATGCAGTGTAATTCTTTTCTTGGAGTGATCATGATCTTGAGCCGTGGCAGTTCCACAATAACAGTCGAAGACGGTATACCCAGTTAACTGATTGCATTGACTGACTGATCGTTTCAAAGAAGACGCTCTTAATGTTTTTCTAGGAAATTTTATTCGTGTTATAGTGACAATGCTTTTAATTACTTAAACGTCTAAACTTGTGTAAAATGTATGTTAATATATCAACTTAATAGAAATACAGTGGGAAACGTGATTTATATGACTTAGATTTCTTATTGAAACGAATTTGATGTCTACATGAGTTCTTAAATTTCTTACATCAACACATTTTTTTCATCTGTTGTCAGTATTACTTGGTCTGCTTAGATTTCACTTAAGACACCCATTCCATTAAGAACTTACAGTAATTAAATGGGAACATATGATATCATGTCAACGGTTTTGTCTCAATCGCACTCGTCCCTTGGCGAAAAGTCTAGAAAATTTGCGACCAAAATGCACAAAACTTTGGATTAAAAGAAAAGTAAAATTCGGAACTCCATTGTTGAGTTTTTCTTTCAAAAAGCCTTAAGAGAATATCGAAAATTAGATAAATGTCCCCAAAATGCAAATGTGGTATTGTTTTTCCAATGTGGAACCTCATCAGTAACAGTTCATACTGTTAATCTAAGCTTGAAGGATAAAGATTTGCTTATGTGATATATATGTAAAATGAATACTAAGACGATAGTCTAGCACATATTGTAAAATTCAAATAGAGTAGACATTAGTAGACATTCCCTTCCAGGCACTGGTATTTCCGATTAACTTTTGCTTAGCAGCTGCCTGAGCAGCACTTTGATAATAATATCTTTCTACGTCCTTTCGAATCAGAGCGTGACGCTATGATATGTTGCTTTTCGATAAAAGCGAAAGCTATAGTGCAGCGAATTCGGGCTAAGCTAAATGTAACTTCCTTCTTCTTCTTCTTGCGCGTTTTTTCAATGAATACGACGTAATTTGCAGAAAGATAATCAAGTAAGGAATGCCAATGTCGACATTCTTGTGAAATTAAATTTCAAAACTCTTTTGTTATTGCATAATCCCAACAGCAGCAAAAGTACTGTAATTATCATATATATATATTTGTTGTCCGTTTTGTAAAATTTAAAGATTTTCTTATGCGTTCTCCTGTTTATAGCAATATCGATTTAATCAATTAATCAAAATAATTCTGATACGTTAATATTGTTTGTAAATGGCAAGCAATATATATATATATATATACATATAGGAACATGCATACATAAATAACGTATGTGTTTATATTAAAATAATATTAATTGTTAAGCGTAAGCTATTAAAATTTCTAACGTGTAATGTAAACGCATTAAAAAATCAAATTAAAAACATTTTGATTATAATAGATAAACAATGCATAATTTAGGTGAGACAAGATCTCATATAAATTTTAAGAAACGTTGGTAGCTCTGGTTTGGTTGATTTTATTGTCAATATTTTTTTAAGAGAGCGAAGGAGAGTATTTTTAAAGGACTGTGAGAGGATAGTGCATTAAATACACATAGAGAGGGAGACGGAAAGAGAGCGAATGAGAGAGAGAGAGAGAGAGAGAGAGAGAGAATACAATGTTAACTATGAGTTATGTAGTAATTTTTTCTAGAACATGTGAACACACATCCATACTACTAGTTGTTTATTTCCATATTTCTTTGTATACAGCGATTATATCTTTCTGTTAAAGAAGAGAGAGAGAGAGACAGTGAGAGAGATAGAGAGAGAGATTTAAAAACGGGTCGTATGAGCATTTAATATTTTGTGTTTTCATTTTTTATTTAATTCATACTACCAGACATTTAATTCTCACCATTATAGGTTAATATGTAACCATGGTTAGCAATCATTGGCAATTGTCACTTACGCTTTTCTGCAAATGCAGTTGTAGTCTTTTTCTCTAGTCATATTTTCTCTCAAGGAAAATAAGAAAGAACTTTTTCCCTTTTTGTTTTCTTTTTTAATTATAATGATGAGTGCGTTATGTGTATGATGTGTATGTTTATTTTTGATTTTTATATGAATGACTTTATGGTAGCATTGCAAACATACTTACAAACACAATGGCGGTGGGATGTTAATTTCAGAGAAAGTTAAAAATAAAGAGGAATTTTTCCCTTTTCTTCTTATCCTTCCTATATACAAAAAATTTCATACACTTCATGTTTACACTTAGTGAAGTACATATATATATATATATATAAAATGCAATATATATAAAATGTTATTTTGTATTTTATATTTCTGGTGTTAAATTTACGCAGGAATGCCGTTAAATAAAAAGTGAGCTTCATTTTTATTATTGATGCCATGTTCTTTGTTCTACTGCTGAACAGAGTGCAGAGTGTTATATTGAGGGGAAAAAGTTTTACAAATCATACACATTACAACTTTAATATACATGACGACCTTCACCTATATTCCTCATTTTAACCGATGACTTGTTTTTAGTTTGTATGTTTGTTTGCGCAACCATTAAATTGTGCTATCCTTTTACTAAACCACCCGTCGCATCACAAAAAGTTGTAATGCTATGGGAATATGAGGAATTGTATGCAATTGCATACGTTTGCTTTATATTCATATATGTACGTATGCTTGTCACCGCCTTTAAGCTATTTTAAGTATAGCATTATCTATGCATTCAACCTACAAATATTCCCTTTCTATTATGATTTACTATATATCCCTCCGAGAAGAAGGCAAGACTTATGAAAAGATTTATGAAAACTGAATACTAACATTCACACAAATGAAGAATATATATAAAGATCTCGATTTCAAAATTTAGAAGAAGAAAAAGAGTTAGTGATATTTTATACTTACTTAAAAACCTTAAGTATGAGAAGCACCCATCTCAGTGTCTATATGAATCCCTTATTCTATGTCACTAACATTAAAGGATGATATATGAATGATGAAAGAAATCTTATGCTGTTACCCTATACTTTTCTGACGGTACAGTCAACCAGTTAATATATACTGTTTAATAAATAAATTCCATAGGTGGGATTACTTCATAACATTTTATAGTTATATTACTGATTGTTCTTTACTTTTGGCATGAAGCATACATTAGTTATGATGCAATCCTGAATCAAATTGTATGACCTTTAGAACTAGCTTGTACCTTGGACTACCTTCGATGCTTTCCTATTTCTATGAAAACTTTGCTCATTATCTACAATTTTTTTGCAAAAATGAATTCTTCTTAAAGATTTCTTTAGCCTTGAATGCTATTGTTGCTTTGAATTGGGCATGGAATGCGGTGGTTGGGTGGATTCGCGCGTTGATGCCTTGCCAAACTATGTTCTTTACACAGAATGTTATGAATAGGCGTGAAAACGTCCTCTTCCTCCGCTATTAAG